ATAATCCTAGGGGCTCGGGAGGCTTAGGCAAGAGGATCACTAGTTCAAAGCCAGCCTCAGCAAAGTAGCAAAGCCTATGCAATTTAGACCCCGTCTCTAAATAAAAATATAAAAGGGGCTAGGGATGTGGCTCAGTGGTTAAGCACCCCTGGGTTCAATCCCTGGTACAAAAAAAAAAAAAAAAAAAAAAGGAAGGAAGAAAGAGTGAGCCTTCAGTGGTAGAGTGGAGGAAGGTTGGCAATAGAGCAAACTTGAAGCAGAGAAGCTAATGAGGAGGCTGTGGAGGTGGTGCAGGCAAACAACCAGAGAGCCAGACCACAGCCATGGAGAGGAGGAACCAGGACTGAGGGCCTCTGAAGGCAGAATTAACAAGACTCCAGGGGCCCCTGGATTTGGGGAGAAACGGAAATGGAGAAGACAAACATGGACTCGGGGTGTGGGGGCAGTGTTGCCCAGCCGGGGTGACCAACTGCTCGGTTTTGCATGGTTAACTTAAGCACTATTACAGGAATTCATTAACCACTTTCCTGAAGCTCCAGATCACACTTTGAAACAAATATGAACAACTTTCTAATGTAGATCGTCTCCTTGTAAAAGTAGACAGTAACTTTCTCTTAACAAAAAATGCTTTAAATATATTTAATTTACCTCCTGGTGAAACAGCATTATATTTAGTATTTGATGCCAAACAATCCAGGGGAAGTGAGTTAGGTACAAATGAAACAATACTGTCTGTCTTGCTAACGGTAGGTGATCACAGGAACTCCTTCTACTGTTTGCTTCATTTTTGTATATGTTTGCATAAAATGTTTTAAAAATACATTGAATATATTGATGACATTGAATATGACACATAACCTTGGAGAGAGATTTGGCAGTTTTTATTCTCAGAACCCTTTAATTTGTAATCCCTATTCTGTCAATTTATACCAGAAGAAGAAGAAGAAGAAGAAGAAGAAGAAGAAGAAGAAGAAGAAGAAGAAGAAGAAAAGAACAAATTGCTGAAATACAGTGAAGCAGGTAATAGGAAAGAGTATTTGCAAGAGGGTGAAAGAAGAAGCTAATTATATCATGTAATGGAATATTATGCATCTACGAAAATTAGACATATACACATCGTGTAGCAAAATGGGATTGAGCAGTATAAGAATATGTTCTGGGGCTGGGTTAGTGACTCAGTGGTAGAGTGCTTGCCTAGCATGTGTGAGACACTGGACTTGATCCTCAGCACCATAAAAAAATAAAATAAAAATACAAAAAATATCAAGAAAAGATGCATCTATTGCATTTACATATATATGTAGATAGAYAGATASATACATACATACATATAAAAGAATATTTTCTGAGCCTGGTGTGGTGGGACATTCCTGTAATCCCAGTAGCTTGGGAGGCTGAGGCAAGAGGATCACAGGTTCCAAGCCAGCCTCAGCAATTTAGCAAGAATGTAAGCAACCCAGTGAGAGCCTGCCTCAAAAAATAAAAAGAGCTAGGGATGTRGCTCAGTGACTAAGCACCCCTGGGTTCAATACCTGTTATCAGAGGGGGAAAAAGAGAATATGTTCTGAAAGTAAGATCAAGGTYCCATGTAAGCTCAGGAAAGATTTATAAACTATTACTGAAGCAGCAACTCCTACCTAAGATGTTTCTTTTTATCTCTGTTAATAGCTACAACCTGCTAGTTTCTGCTTCTGCAATCATGCTTGCTCAGCATCTATGGCAGGAACCAAAGCTGCGTGGAGAAAGGGGGAGACATCATGATTACTTCCATAAGAAAGYCCTGAAACCCAAAAGTCTGTGCTRTAGAAAAGATACTGAGAACAAAGAACTGTGCTCAGCTTTGGGAGAGGACCCCGCTGAGCCCCAACCAGTGCTGACCAAACCTTTCTCTTCTATAGCTCCAAGTGCCGCTTGTCTCTTTCCAGGGCCAAAATTTTCCATATTTTCTGTAACATTACAACTGTGCAAGAGATGCCTGTCYGGCTCTAGCTGCCTCTTGGACTTGTCTCCCACATCTCTCATCTTCAGCATCCCTGACCTCCTGGCTSGCTCTCACATACTCTGGGCTCACTTTCACCTGGGGCCTTTGCACTTGGAGCTCCCTGTGCCTAGAAAGCATTTCCCAACATGTGCATATGTCTGGCTTCATTCATTCCTTCCACATGGCTAATTTTATTCAGATCTGTGCTTAAATGCTACCAAATGAGACTCCCTTTTTCTAGACCCAACTAAAATAGTGCCCGGTGCCAACGTCATTCTCTGCCTTCTTAGCTTGCTCCCCCCCCCATATCACTTAACACCTGGAATTATATCTGCACTGGGGTCATTGTTTATATAATGTACTTTTTTTATGGCTGTATTTCTAGCAGTGGCTGGAACACAGTAGGCACTATGTTGACTGGCTTACTGACTGCACATAAATGCATACATATGCAAAAAGACCGAAGGCAATTTTAAAGAAAGGACAGAGCTGGATACAACTGTGCATACCCCTAGTCTTGGCCAAGGTGGGAGGATCATTTGAACCCAGCAGTCGGAGGCCAGCCTGGGCAACACAGCAAGACCACATCTCAAAAAATAAAAAAAAAAAAAGTAAAAAAAAATTGATCTTTTCTGTTATAATGAAAGAAASTTGGGGATTTCCTCTAAACCTTTTATAATATTGTATTGCTTTTTGTAACCTAAAAGTAAAAACTTTTGAAAAGCCAAACTATTGAAAACATGAAAGTAACATAAATGTTTAGCATAGAGACTCATCAGCTTTGGTTTAACACACAGATTTCTTTACAGGAAAACATTATTCTAAAAAATAAATAGTAGCATCTAATAGTTTACCAGTGTCTGAGGTGGCCATCCTGTGGGACCCGTTGCTGGGCTGGGGAACAGTTGTTTTAAAGTCACTGTTGTCTTTTCTGCTTTCAGCTTTGAACCTGAGTCTTGAGCACCCAGGAAATTTGCTGGCAAATGAAATCTGGGACTTAGTTTCTCTAAGGAATTTTTCCTCCTTTTTTGACTCATGGTCAAGTTGAAAGGGTCTTTCTCAGTAGAACAGCTTCTGATGCCTTTCTGTTTTCTAGGATTGCTTGGAAGAAAACAATACTCTGTCAAAACATCCTCCTTTACATGAGTTTCCTGTGTCCTTTTCCAAACTGTTTATTGTTGGTAATGTTTAACATAAAAAATGAATGAGGCAGCCCAGGATCCGTGATGGTAACAGATACAAAGCCAAAGCAAATTTGAGTTTTTAACTTTGCCCTATGTTATTGTGTGAGATACAGATCATTAAACACTACTTTGGCAAACGTATCAACTGTGCCAATAGACTTTAAGCTACAGAAGCCAATTAGTGCTACCTTGTAAGAGATGTCAATTAAGGAGGACTTTCGGGTGCCTCTCAGCAGGACTGGCTGTTTGCAAAGCTAGAGGAAATTGCCTTCAGCAACCCAGCCTCTTCTCCTATATAGCTCCTTTTATATCTTACCATTTCCATATTTTCTCTACCACCATCTCATGGAAAAACATGTTGGCAGTAAAGAATTCATTCATTCCATGAATACTTTTAAAGAAATAACTGTGGGTGGATTACTATTTCTAGATGTGAGAGGTTCAAGGACAAACAAGACCCAGCTCTTGTCATYGATGCAGGTGGGAAGATGGACCTATGTGCGGACGACTGTAATCATGTGGGACAGGGCTGCAGGGAGGAGAGGCAGAAGGAGTCGAGGACTTCCTGGGTGAGTGAAGCCTGCCTCAGAGAACAGTCTGAGCAAGAGTAACATTGCCTGGAGTTTGAAGAACAGAGAGGTAACTAGAAAGTGAAGAGTAATTAAAAAGCAGGATGTTGGGTAATTATGAAGTTATGGGACATAAACCTAAAAAGAAGAAAAATGTTATTCTAAAAAACCTATCAAATATCAGCTTGTATTATTTCCATTTCTGTAAAAATTTGTTTAGGTGTTTGTATTGAAGTAGAAAAAACATAGGTGAATAATGACATGACCATAGATGAATATTTGCTGATAATATATACATATATCTATGAGAGAGAGAGAGAGAGAGAGAGAGAGAGAGAGAGAGAGAGAGAGAGAGAGAGAAATTCATGATAGAGAAAGCAAAGCAAAAGCAAATTGAAAGGAGATATATATATTCTGAAAATAAAATAACCAACCCAAACAAACAAAAAACCGTGAAGAGAGGGAAGGTCATGCCAGGCACAAAACAGCAAGCTCAAAAGTTACCAGGCCTGAAGTTCTAGAAGAGCCTTCCTTGGCTTTAGGCRTGAATCCTGGTTTGCCTGGAGCTGGGGAACAAGGAAGAATGGAGGTTAAGGGTGGAGTCTGGTATGATTAGAAGCAAAAAGGATTCCTGGGGTCTGATCTATCATTTTTCTAGACATTAGCTTACAGTTTATGGGAGGGTTAAAGGCTTAAATAAAAGGAATACAACTGTAAGTRGAATTCAGAGATTCTTGAAATTGGTTCTCTTTCTATTAAATAGTTCTTTCTGTGATTATGTTTCCAGAACGGCTCTTGAAACATTATGTACAGAAAATCTTAAAAACTGACCTTGCAGAACCCATCATAGCCTGTGGGATGGAATGTTCTTGTACATCTGGAGTGCTGCTTTAGGATCACACCTGGACATCCCATTTTCTTTTTTTAAATTTTCTTTTCATATCAGAACAGGAACCAGTCCTGGTTTACCCAGAAACAGACAGCAATGCAACCAGATGATTGCTTCAATTACACTGGCCTCCCCACAAGGTCGTTAAATGGGGTTAAGTGGGAAAGAGACAGGAAGGACCCCCTACTGAGATTCTCTCATAAACCTGGCAGAGCCTGCAGAACTGGTTGTCTCACCCTGATCCCAAATTTCCCCATAAACCCATTTCATTGTACTGGTCTTCCAATCCCCACCCAAGACTTACCTCCAGGGTCGTTTGCACCCAATTTCACCTTCTGGAGATTCATGCAAGGCCATTTTCTCTCAGAAGCCTGCTCAGTGAACGGCTTCACTACCCGCCCCCCACCCCACCCCAAAGTGTACAGACTCCAACTCCCCAAGTCTTAAGAAAACACTGCTGGAGGTGCTCCAGGATGTGGTAATTTGCCCAAACAAAACCCCACCCAGTTCTGAGGCCTGCTGAGTTATCTATGCAGGTTAATAGCACACCAGGGAGCTGGGGAGCCAGGGCAAGCAAGAGACCCATGCAGGACCCAACCAACAGAAGAGGAAACCAAAGGAAGGAGAGAAATGCAAGAAGTAATCCAGAAAGGAGCCCTTACTGGGAAGGGAGACTTGGGAGCTAAGAGGGCAAAGCACCTGCACATTGCTTACTATATCCTCATTTAAGTAGCAGGTTGTCATGCGCAACTTTGAAAAAAAAATATTTTTCCTCGAAATGCATTTGGGAAAATTCCTCTTTACATGATAAAGTTTAATAAACCCTCAGGCATCCCATATTCAAGCTTTAAAAATGGGCTTAACCAAATCTTCTGCATCTCCCTTGCCTCAGCCTGGACTTGACTATATGAAGATAAACCCGGAAACGGGATTTCGGAAGGGCTTCAGATCACAGTACAGGCTTCACACTACAGCAGCTGAAAACTGTCTCTTCTCCTGGGACCAAAGGCATTCACTTAAGAGCCCCTTGGGAAAATTAATTTCAATTCAGCCCACTGACATTAATTGAGCAGTTACTTTAGACATTTATTGTATTCTTGGTAAGCTAGGTTATTGCCAAAAAAAACCCAAGAGTAATTCATATTTGATGGGTTATTTCTCTTACATGTAAGCTGTTTGTATTCTGCTACTTTTGCAGAACTGAGGAATACCCTTGTTTTCCATTCTTAGGTTTGGGCTTAACATTTTTAATTTTTTTAAGAAATGCTTTTTCAAAGGCCTTAMATTTTTTGATTCAGTATTTCAGAGTGAATCCTCTTTTCAATGTTGCTTGTTAAAGTGAGATGCACTTTTTTTCCCTTTCTCTACAAAATCTGCTTTTTAGAAAGGAACAGAAATCTTGTTTCATGTTGCAACTTGGATAAATCTAGAGAACATTATGGCAAGAGAAGTAACTCATTCACAGCAAGACAATACAGGACAATACTGCCACACAAAGTATCTAAAGTGTCAAACATGCAAACAGCAACTAGAATGGTGGTTGCTAAGGACAGGGTAGCTGGGTGGTGGTGGGGAATGTGTAGTTATTTAATGTGTATGGAGTTTTGCAAAATGAAAAGACAAAAAAGTTCTGGAGATTCAATGCACAACATTACAGAACTTATGCTTAAAAATGGCTAATATGATAAATTTTATGTTATGTGTTTTTTACTCAATTAAAAATTTTAACAGTATATTTTTAAAAAGTGACCTAGAACTAGAACTCTCAATGTAAAGAAGTTCTAGGAATACCTTAATCAACTTCTGCTTTCATTTTCCTTCTTATGTATTCATAAGTGTGGTAAGAATTTTTAAAACCCATATATATATATAAATTTTAAATAATTAAAAGTTAAAACCTAAGTAATTAAAAAAAACTTCACTTAATTCTAAAGCACTTTAAGAACATACAGTATCTTGAGTTTTATGCCTGATGGGCTTAGTTCATCCCTATCAGAACTCTAACCTTGAAAAGATATTATTAGACATATTTATAGAAGTTTAGTAAATACTACTATTCACAGTTAATGTAAATAGAAAAAGATTTATTAAAGGAATGGCAGAATGTCTATTGAATGGATCTCAGAGGTAAATATGTGTTCACCCCTGCTCTTTTTGAAACCCCATGGAAACAATAGTTAAAGATTATTTTTTGTTTTGTTTTGTTTTGTTTAGTCATAATTCTAGCCAGGCATAGTGGCACATGCCTATAATCCCAGAGGCTTAGGAGGCTGTGGCAGGAGGAATCTGAGTTCAAAGCCAGTAATTTAGCAAGGCCCTAAGCAACTCAGCAAGACCCTGTCTCTAGATAAAATATCAAATAGGGCTGGGGTGTGGCTCAGTGATGAAACCCCTCCTGGTTCAATCCCTGGTACCAAAAAAATAATAATTAGTCATAACTCTATAAGGGTAAAGAGAACTGGATATATGTCAATACAATTTTGGACTCTAGAGAGAATGACTGAATTTAAAGGTAAGTGCCTGGTAGGATTGAGAGAACAAAATTTTCAACTATAGACTCTCAAAAGGCTTAGTGATTGAAGATGCCAGGTAATTCCTAAGAAGGAAATGGGATATGGGTAGGACTGTACAAAAATGGATTAGTTTGTAAGGCATTAAAATGTTAGATACCATTTCTCATCCCAGGGTAGCCAGATAACCACCTCTTCTCCACCCTGTCAAAGGGTAGAAAGTTTGCTGGTGCAGAGGCCCATTCTGTAACCCCAGCTACTTAGAAGGCTGAGGCAGAGGGATTACAAGTTCAAAGCCTGCTTGGGCAATTTAGCAGGACCCTGTCTCGAAATAAAAAAAAATAAAAAGGGCTGGAGATATAGCTAAGTGTTTGAGTGCCCCCAGGTGCAATTCCCAATACCACAAAGGAAAAAAAACTAAGAAAGAAAGTTTATTTTCAGGACAGGTTGAAACACAGAGTGATCTAAACTCAGATACTGGTCGTGTTTTGAGTATCTTATCCAAAAAAGAAGTTAAATTTATATCTTGAGCCATCACACCCTTCCTTATCCCCTTCTGTTCCTCTAAGAACATACTGGCCACCAAGCCTAACCACCCTCTTCCACCACTCAACAAAGGCACAGTGGAAGACACCTACCCGGGGAAACTGGCTAGCCCAAGAGAAAAGACCTACATAGTAGCCGTCGAGATCCCTCAACTAAATGACTCTATCCCTGCTCAAGCACACTACACAGAAGCCTAAGGACTGACCGCTCCCAAATATATGACACATAATTCTATATGTGCATGGAGGACCAAGGTTCTCAAGATAGTTGAGGAAAGACTCTGGCATGAAAAGGAGAAGCAGAAACAATAAGAAAAAGGAAACTTGGAGAAACTAAAGACAACATATGGAGAAGAAGACACTTTAGAGTCTTTTAAGACTTTCTAAAGACTTTCTCTACTTGGAGAGTTAAGAGATGATGTAGAGCTTATAAATCAAGAACCAGAAGATATAAGAAAGGAAACATCCAGAGAACAAAAGAACTTTTAGAAATTAAAAATATTTGATAGCAGTTTCCAGGCAAATGCAAGTGGCGATAGTGTAATTTTGAATCTCCAGTCCRCCAAAATGCACAACCATTTCTACCAACTATGAGAGAGACGAGGCGTCCCCTGAATCCCTAAATATAAGGGGAGGGATGACTGACTGACAGCAGTAAGGCCCCCATGGAACGCATGGAATCGGCAGGTGGGCAGGAGGAGGTACAAAGCAAAGAGCCAGCAAGCCTATAATAAAATGGTCTTTACCCCCAAATTAAAATGTCCTCACTCAGCATTTAAACCCTTAGAGTCTTTTTGAGAACAGCTGCCAGATTTGGAAAGGAGTTTTTTTTTGGGGGGGTGAACGCAAAGGAAAAGTTAGATGGTGTGGGAACCTCTGCACCCTATTAAACCTCAAGACCAACCGACTAATCTCCTTTCCAGGACAAAATGCCCCAYGGAGGAGAATCTGCTGGCAGCCAAGTCTAAATTGAACAGCCAGAGACCTAAGGGCACAGGAAAGAGAACATCCAGATAAAAATGGGGAAAGAGAACAGAAAAGGTAGTTTCAGAAAGTACAAGTACACTGCTTATCTCCTTCTAAGAGCCACAGGAAAACCATGAGCTGGGGAAGTGATCCTGGCCCACCCTTTTATCCTATGGTCCACCACAGGGGCCTCTGCTTGGGGCTCCTGGGTATATTCTCCTGACACAGCAGCTGCCTTATCAAAAGCAAGTGACTCAGAGAGAAAAAGGACAAGGGTGTGATGCCGGTTATGACCTAGTCATGCACCATCAATTCTACCAGTCCTGTTGGTTAGAAGTGAGTCACTAAATCCAGTGACCAACAAGATAAGGGAAATAGCCTTTACCTTTCTCAGGAAGGAGTATCGAAAGATTTTCTGAACACCTTAAAACTGTTTTAAAATATAAAAAGGATTATTGAGAAAATAAAAGATATAAATAGCAGATAGTCAAAGATAAACCGACATTTTTTTCCTTTTCTTCTTTTTAAATTTCTTTTTAAAAATTTGTTCTTTTTGGTTATACATGACACTAGAATATATTTTGACATACCATATATACAGGGAGTATAACTTCCCATTTTTATGGTTGTGCG